AGTGGACAGGGGACCCTGTCTGCCCTGGACACTGACCTCCGCCAGCCGGACTCCGGGGGAGGGGACAAGTAGGCAGGACTATACGGAGAGCTGTCGACGTGAGCAGCACCAGCACCAGTTAAGGAGCATATGGGAGGAGGGCACAGAGGGGACAGAGACCGGACCAAAGGAGAACACTGGAGGAAGTGGATGAATTGTTTCAAGAAGCAAGTACCTCCCTCCTCTTCCACGAGGGGCAACGACAGGGCCAAAGAATGGAAGAGAGAAAGGGAACCAGGCCCAGGAGAGTTGAAAAAATGAGGGAGAATAACTGGACAGGGCATGAGAAACAGGTCTATGAGAGTCTCTGAGACTGAAAGCTACCAACAGAAAGGGGAGGAAAAATGTGAAGAGGGAACCAAATGCCCTCCGGCAGGAGACGTATGTCTCCCCGTCGAAGGAGCCGGCGCTGACACACAGGCCAAACGGTGGCTTTTCTGGGAGGCTGGTGATGGACGGACTGAACCGCACACAGAGTCCCTTCCTCCCACGAGTTCCCGAGGGACTCCACCCGCCCCCGCCCCCCGGCTCCCCACAGCCTCCGTGAAGGATATGTGGCGGGGGTAGCGGCGGAGTGGGGACACCATCCTTCGGGGGTCTCGCTGCACCCGTTCCACCAGCCCGTGGTGCCGCGTGCCCCGAGATGAATCCAGAGGCGAGTGGAGGGGGCTCTGCCAAAAGAGACAGGGAGGTCAACCGGGGAAGTCGCAAGTCACCTGGGCCCCCGTGACTGCTGTCCACTCACCTGGAACTCAGCCAGGCCACAGCCAATCTGGTTAACGTTGGGCAGAGAACCGCCATAATGGGAGCTCCTCGTGTAGGCCAGTCGCAACTTTTGGGCCTGTAACTGAGACAGGGAGGACAAACGGGAATATCAGGGAAGGTTCTGACGACTGTTCTGTTCCTCTGGCCACTCTTGCCATCTGTCTCCAGGGCACGCCCCTACTGCTGGTGCACTTAGGAGCGCCGCCAGGAAAAGCAGTGGGGGGCAGGCCAGGTGCGAAGCGGCAGCCCCAGCTCTTCCGCAGGCCACCCTCAGCCACCCCACTAATGGCTGGCGTCGCCCTGCCACGCAGGGCCTGACACTCTGCTCGGGGCCTGTCCCAGTTGGCATCAGTCTAAACAGAGTCCCGGAGGGGTTGCCAGGAGCCCCCAAGCTAGTCACATCGGTTAACTCCTGGGAAGGGTGTCTATTAGGCACCTCGCTTTCCCTTCCAGATGTGTCCAGGACTAATTGGAACATGAGGGGAAGGCCACAGGTGGACGCCACAGAGCCATTATCGCCAACCTCTTTCCTTCCCACTCTGGAGGGCACGGGCTTCTGCCACTTGGCCTGCCTCAGGAAAGCTACACAGAGCCTGCACCACCCAAACTAGTACACCTAGGAAATGATGGCTCTCCCAGCTGGAAAAACAGAGCTAAAGCCAAGAAGCAGTCTTCTTCTACCTAGTTCTAAAGCCCCTGAATGGACAGGGAAGCCCTGAGAACGGTCCTGAGAGAGGGAGCGATAACCCAGTTCAGCCTGGCCTGATCCCCACTTTGGGGAGAGGTATCTGGCACGGCAGTGAGACACCACAACCCTCAGTCTGGCACGGTGTCAGTCTGTCTACAGATCTTAAGTCCTTCTGTGAGAGGTGAACACCTACTTCTGAGGCTCAACCACTGCAACCTGCCAAAAAATGGACGTAGGGCAGCTGATGAACTTCTGGGGGTCACGCACTGTTGTGCATAGGCCAACATCAGAATTGACTTTCTGTTCCAAGAGATCAGCCCACTGAGTTTTAGCAGACGCTATGTAAACCTTTGGGCTGCTCAAGATGATTAGTATATGTGCTAAGCCTAGCCTCTCAGTACCATAGACCCCTATGACTGTACCTGCCACAAACGAGCCCTCTCAGCTAAGCTAAGCCCCAGATCTCTTATCTCTAGCTTTAGACTCTTGGGTCCCTGAGCCCCGGCCTTGTATGCCCACTAGATATTTATGTGCCGCAGAGAAGCAACCTGCAGGGGCAAGGTGGGCAGAAGGGGTGTTTGGACAAACCAAGGCGCTAAAAAGGCAGAGGCCTCAGCTCTGAGCTTCTCACAGCCTTTCTGTTTGTACACACAAACCCTAAAATCCCACCCTGCTTCTGCTGGAGTCACGGTCCAGACAGAGGACAGGGCGGCAGGCCGAGCCTCTTGCCCACCTTCTTGCCTCCGCACCCACCATGATCAAAAGCTCCTAAAGGGGAGCAGTCAACAGTTAGATCATGATCCTCATGGCATTCAGAGGGAGTTGTGTGTGCGCACACACACGATATGCTTCCCCCTAACTCTCTGTGTTCTGACTCCCACAAACTAGGACACGTGGTCTCTAGAGATCCAAAGGGAAAAAAACACAAGAAAAACCAACAGGTGAGACACAAACAAAAGTACAACCAGAGTCAGGGTCACAGACGCAACCACAGTCAGTTTAGAAATGTACTTCTGTACCACCATCTCCCCGGGAGTTCCTTCTAGCTCTCCGCCATGAGGGATCACTGCAATATCCTCACCTGCTGTTTTGAGAATAACGTGTCCCTAAATTAGGACTGCATACCAGCTGGGCAGACTCCCACCCTCACTCCCTCTGCTATTCAGCCCTGGAAAGCAAGAAAGGAAGGCCAGAGGGGCTTCAAAGGCAACTGTGCCAGGATGTCTTCTTCCTGGAACTGCTTAGGAATGAATATCCCCTACCCACAGCAGACCCTCCGAGGCACCTTATAACTGACTCACAAAGCAGCCACCTTCCTAGAAAGATCAGCAAACCTAACCTATAGCCAACTGGTTACCCGCTTTGGAGCTTCAAAGTCCTACCTCCCCTCCGCGGTGGCCAGGGCAAAACATCAAGCACAGTCTGTGAGCAATGGACCTCACCTTCATTCACGTCAGGAAACCACAAGAAATATTTGAAAAAGGAAGCAAAGGGAAGGGACGCAGGAGGGGACTTCCTGCCCCACTAGACTCAGCGCTGCGGCGCAAACCACTCAAGGGGCCCTTTCCCGAAGGTACTGAAGTGCCGAGAATGGCACAGCAGGGCAGAGGGACCAGACTGGAGGAGATCACCGACTCGGAGCAGCCGGGCTGGGGCCAGCGGACCATGCCCCCCGCCACAGCCCAAGCTCGGGGATGCTGCAGAAGCGTCCCCAGGGACTCAATCAGGGACGCACGGGATCGCCGCCGGCCGCCGCCCCCACGCGGCCCCGGCTGGCTCCCCGGCGTCCCGGCCTCCCCCGCAAGCCCGTCTTCCTGCCCCTCGGCCCTCCACCCGCGCCTCCCGGACGGCGGCGGCCCCGCTCCGCCTCCCTCGCGGCGGCACCCGCCTCCGCCCCGCCTCCCGGCGCCCCGCTCCGGGACTGCGCCCTCGGCTCCCGCTCCCCCGGCGGCCCCTCACCCGGGTGGAGCCGATGTCCATCATCACCTCCTCGAAGGCCGCCGTCTCTTCGGCCTGACGCTGCTTCTGCAGCGCGATCTTCTCGCTAAACTTGCGCGGATTGGAAGCTGAGGCCGTGGCCGAGCCGGGCCCGTTCGCGCCCGCCGTCGCCATCTTCCCCGTGCGTCCCTCCCCGCCACCCTCCCGGACAAGCCACGGCCCCGCCGCGGGCCTTGGCCCGCGCCTCCAGCAGCAGCCGCCGCCGCCGCCTCGGCGAGCACCGCGAACCCGGCCCCAGCCTAGCCCGGACCTGCCGCGCGCGAGGGCCGCCGGGAACTGTAGTTTGTTTACGTAACCCTTGCGCGGCCTCAAGCGAGCAGCGCGGACAGGAAGCGGACTCCATTTCCCAGCAGCCCTGTGGACCCGGGGCCTGGGGTCTGGCTCCTCCCCCCGGCTCCTCCCTGCGCGGGGCAAGCTGGGAAAAGTAGTTCTAAGTTGGTCTTGAGCCTTCGAGCTCGAAGGGGAGCAGGATGCAGGAGAGGGAAGGATTGGGGAGGAAGGGGAAGGGGTGGAGACAGGGCGGGAAGAAGGAAGGAACAAAAGAGGGAAAATTTGGGTCTTCAGGTAAGGGGACTCCGGAGCCTGAATGAAAGCAGTGAGAGTAGGGACATTAAAACAGGTATAAACGTCTGGGACTCAGGCCCTCTCAGACGGGCCACGTGCCCACCCCTTGCCCAAGATAAATGAATCAGACACTGCACAAATGTATAGAAACATCTTTTATTTGGGTAACAAGTCCCAAAACAGGTCAGTTAGTAAAATAGATTCTAGAGAACATGGCTCTATCCACAGCCCTCCCTCCCCAAAAATAGCTGGGGGTGAGCCTTCCCCTTGGGCTCCTCTGGTATAAAAAAAATTTTGGCAGCTCAGTATTTCTCATCTGGGCATGGGGCACCATTTCCATGTTCAGTACTCCTAGGGTGCAGTAGTGGTGGGGGGCCGCAGCTCTGCCAACCCTCCCCTAACCTCAACTCAGCAAACATGGCTGCCTCCAAATGAAGAGCAAGCAGGGCCCCTCCGCTGAGGTGCTGGGCAGGGTTCCGTGCCATCTCTGTGCTTTTTGACAAAGAGGGAAGGGATTTATTTGGCACTTTAAAAATAGAGAAGTGAGCAGGACTAGACAAGCCAGAGAAGGTACCAAAACTGGCAAGAAGAGGCCATTTGGCACTAGTCCCCTGGGAGTAGGGAAGCAGGAGACGGAGTAGGAGCTAAGAGAAGAAGCCCACTCCACCCCAAGAGACGGAGGGCTGGAATGGGCTAGAACCAGGACTGCTGACTCTGGGCTGTGCCTCCTCACACCTCCATCCCACAGCAGCTGGGTGCCTGCCCCCAGCCTTCCCATTGCCAGCTCGTCCCTGTATGTAGTGTCTGACCCCGGACTCTAGCACTGTGTCTTCCCCAATATGAATCACTGATCCTGTCTTTAGTGATATGACTATCCCTTGTCCCTTGGGGCCACAATCTTGTCTACCACATCCCTCCCATTGGTCAGATAATCCCAAAGACTCCATCCCTATCTCCCAGAGAACCTTTTGATCCTTAATCCTCCCTTCTCCACTCCTTATTTTCATAGCTGGGGTTCAAAAGGAAGGTCAAGGGCACCTGGAGCTCCCTAGACTTGGATGAAGAGCAGGCCAGTGAGCAGGGCAAAGCCTGCAAGGAGCAGGATGACCTTGAGGATCCTCTGCTCAGAAGTGGCCAGCTCCTGGGGCAAGATTTCCAGGAAGGTAATATAGAGAAAGGTGCCAGCTGCCATGCCCTCCAGCACAGACTGGGCCAGCTGGTGCAGTGGCCCAGCCGACTCTGCCAGAGCTGCACCCAGCCCAATGCCCAGAGGGGTCATGCATGAGAAGAGGATCCCACAGCCAGCTACCACCTGCGCTCGCAGATGGCTCTGCAGCAGCCGCAGGGACAAGCTGACTGCCAGAATACCCTTGTGGAGCAGCAAAGCCAGGCAGAGCTCCAGGGCCCGAGCCCGGTCTCGCTGCAGCCCCACCGCCAGTCCCTCAAACACCGAGTGCAGGGCCAGGGAGAAGACCAGTACGCAGGCGCGCAGCGCTGAGGGGGCTGCAGGGGCTCCACCTGCCTGCGGGATCCCCGGCCCATCAGGCCAGTGCTGTGGCCCACCGTTTGCTGTTCCCAGCAGAGCTCTCGTCTCCTCTCGAGGTGGTGGCCCTGACTGCTCCTTGTAAGCTAGTGTGATCTGTTCCATCACCAGGACCAGGAAGAAGCCCATTGCCAAGATGAACTCTTGTAGGGGGAACTGGAGCTGTGGGCAGACAGGGCAGCAAGAAGTTCAGGAGACAGGCCAAGAATGGGGAGGAGTCAAATTCAGAGTCTCGAGGACTCCTAGTTATACAGACTTAGGGTCCCCCATAGATGCAGGGCTACTCTCAGTTGCACAAAGACACACACAATCACATAGATGATAGTGTTGCTCACAGTACTACATATAGACCAGTTTCTCAACTTTGGCACTATTAACATTTTGGGTTGGATAATTCTTCATTTTGGAGGGTTGTCCTATGCTCGGTGGGATGTTTAATAGCATCCCCAGCCTGTATCCATTAGATGCCAATAGTAAGCACAAAGCCTTCCTTTCCCAATTGTGACAACGAAAAAGGTCTCCAGACACTACCAAATGCTTCCTGTGAAGGGGGTGCAAAACCACCCCCAGCTGAGAGTGACTGATGCAGACATGTAGGCGTGCACGTGTGTGAACGCGCACACACACACACGCAGGATCACACGTTGCCCACCTCACCAAATGCTCACACACAGAGCCACAAACTATTAGGGGCCACTGAGACTTACACAGAGTCATACAGGGTGACGGTCACTCACTCACAGAAGGTACATCCTGTGTTACTTCCCCAGTCTTAGGAAGAGGAAGAGCGCAGGGTGCCTTCCTGGCACCTCCACACAACTGTCTCAGCTTTTCCCATGAGACTTCCCTACGCCTTGTACTTGACCTTCTTCACATCCTACTTCCTTGGGTTATGGCGTTTTAGGTCAGGAACTCCAGACCTCCCACCCTTCCCAGGCCTGGAGGGCCCTCTACTGCCAGCAAAGTGGTGTGAGAGTGAAGATGATTCTCGGAGGCTGTGACTGAGAAACTCACAGAGTAGGTCACATGCCTGTACGAGGCTCCCCTCAGTAACTCAAAAGAGTGCACGGCAGTCACAGAGGGACTGGGGGCAAAGGGGAGCACCCCAGGAAGAGTTATGCCCCATCACTAAAAGTCGCAATTCATAGGGTCCCATGCTAGGCACCTTCCACACGGTCACACGGTCACGGAGCGCGCTGGGAAGAGATGTAAACGAACCGTGTCTCCCACGGGTGTGTGACTGAACACCCCCCCACACACACAGGGTCACATGCAGCAGCAAGGGCTCACCGTCACGTGCAGAGCTGCTAGGGCCTCATCTATGGCAGCCAGGTAGTCAGGCAGTAGGTCCAGGAGACATGTGGCCAGAAAGACACCCCCTGCGAAGCAGCTTACTAGGCTCAAGGCTTTTTGGCGGGAGGCTGGACAGGAGTGGAGCACAGACGGGAGTAAGCAATGAACCCCCTTCAAGCCTCACTGCCCCAACCCAAGCAACGGTCACTCTTGCCTTCCCGTCTTTAAGGGAAACTCCGCAGCCCCCAGAGCCCTCCCCAACCCAGCAGGGAACAAGAGAGGCTCACCTGAGGCTTCGGGGCCGGCCCTAGGCCGGCGCAGTACGCAGATGGGCACCAGACTGCAGAGAAGAGTGAGCAAGAGCAGCAGCACCAGGGCGCCCATTTTCACCTCCAGACCCACGGGCCCCGGGGGCTCCGAGGCCACCGCCTCCGGGCGCCACACCAGGAGCTCTGGCTCTTCCCAGGGCCCCATGGTGGCTGTAGCTGCTCCAACGACTTTCGGACCTAAGACAACGCGAGTGGGGCAATGGTCACTTGAAGAAGGGGCCAAGCAGAGGGGAGAGCTGATCAGCGGACGGGAGCCCCCTCACCCTGCCGCCCCCCAACCTCCCCAGCCCAGTGTAACTCATGCACTCCCGGACTGGGAACGGCCCCCTTCCCCCGCAGACTGCACCCCTTCAGATGGCTCATTCGGGGACCCCGCGCGGGGGATCCAGCGTCAGGGCGGTGTGGATGTCTCATTACCCCTTCACCTGAAGCTCGGTCCTCCCGGGAGAGGAGAGGCCGGGCCCCCCGCAGGAAAGAGGGGACGGAGCCAAGGGGGTCGGGCTGCGCAGAGGTGTCGCGGGGAGCTTCGTGGGCCACCTGGGCAGGGCGAATTTGGGGGCGGATCACTCCCCGCTCCCCGTTTCCCCAGCCGCGCGCCGGAAGCGGAGAGCGGCGCGCTGACGGCCACCGCCAGGGCCCCCAGGCGGCGGGGTCGCGGCGGGCCGAGGCCGCCCAGCCCACACGGCCCGGGCGCACACTCACCTCGCCAGGGTCCCCCTCCGCCGCAGCCGCCGGGTTCCGTCGCGACTCTGGACCCCGCCCCGCCGCGTCCCACCTCCCCGCCGCCGCCGGCCAATGACGGTGCCAGGAGGGCGTGGCCCTGCCAGGAGTGACGTGCTCTGGGGGCAATCAGCGGGCTGTTGGGGGCGGGGATTCGAGGGGGGCGGGTCCAGGGGCTGCGGGCCTGGGGCGCTTCGGGGCGGTACGACTGGCCCCGCTGGCCGGAAGCTAGAACGCCCGCGGGCGAGGCGGGAGTCCGAGCCCACTCGGCATTCCCAAGTCTTCCGCTCTGCATCGCTGAGGTTTTCTTCCTGGTCTTGGGCAGCGTCTTCTTAGCCATCTCTTGGAAGACTCTAAGAGCCTTTCCGCGCACCTTGGCGCCAGAGGGAAAACATTCTCTTCTTAGGACTGACTTCTTTGCTTGACTTCCCTCTCCAACACCCGCAACAAAGGAAAAAGACAAGGCAGAATTGGAAAAGGGAAATCGCGAAGAGGGGGCATTTCTTGAAAATTATCCCTCTTGACTACCGGTGGCCTGAGCGCATTCTGTGCAGCCTTCCGTCTTCTCTGAGAGTGTGCGGGAACTGGTGGGACCCAGCCCAGGGGTGGCCCAAACCCTACCCAGTGAAGAGCTGCTCTCAGCTGGCTCCAACTTACCATCCTCACCATGCCTCAGGGCATCTAACAGGCTTCTCTCCAAACTCACCTGGAACTCTGCAACTCCTCTCCCCCCAGCCCTGCTGGCCTCCCTTCTCTTTTCTGTTCCTTGATTGCGCCAAAGTATTTTCAACTCAGGACCCTCATCGTTTCCTTAGCCTGGATCCTTTTGACCCACATTCCCTGTGCTATCAGAATCTTCTAACCTCATGGGAGGGTAGGGTATAAAAGAGGAAATAAAGAAAAGGGGCTCAGCCTAGTCTTTTCAAAGGCGAAAAAACCTCATTGTCTCAAGAAGAGGCAGGAGTAATGTCTCTAAGGCTCTGGAAATGGAGGCCAGAAACTTCCCTAAGAAAAGAGGGAATGTGAAGACTTTTTTTTTTTTAAGATTTTATTTATTTATTTGACAGAGAGAGACACAGCGAGAGAGAGAACACAAGCAGGGGGAGCGGGAGAGGGAGAAGCAGGCTTCCCGCCGAGCAGGAGCCCGATGCGGGGCTCGATCCCAGGACCCTGGGACCAGGACCTGAGCCGAAGGCAGACGCCTAACGGCTGAGCCACCCAGGCGGCCCAATGTGAGGACTTTTTGAGGGAGAGAACCCAGGAGAAAGGAATCACATAGGACTCTAAGATGAGGATGTAAGTGAAACGGGATAGTACTGTAACCATCATTTAATAATTATTATTGCGGAAAAGAAAAAAAAAATGATCATTGCTGTTCCAAGCTCTCAATTCAAAGATAACAATTACTGTTAAGAGAAAACTGCGGGGCGCCTGGGTGGCTCAGTCAGTTAAGCATCTGCCTTCAGCTCAGGTCATGATCCCAGGGTCCTGGCATCAAGAGCCCCACATCTGGCTCCCTGCTCAAGGGGGAGCCTGCTTCTACCTCTCCCTTTGCCCCTCCCCCAGGCTTGTGCGCGCTCTCTCTCAAATAAATAAAAATTTTTAAAAATTTAAAAAAGAGGAAACTCCAAATTATTTGAGAGAATATTGTGCAAGCTGCAGTTTGTGGTAAATTATGCTTTCAAGATTATTATTATTTTTTAAAGATTTATTTATTTATTTTAGAGAGAGACGGAGACAACATGAATGGGAGGGGCAGAAGGAAAGGGAGAGAGAATCTCAGGCAAACTCCATGCTGAACACAGAGCCTGTCGCAGGGCTTGATCCCAAGACCTGGAGATCATGACCCAAACCGAAACCAAGAGTTGGATGCTTAACCGATTCTGTCATCCAGGCGCCCCTTAAAATTATTGATAATTAGTAACATTAACAAGGAATCATGGACTGGGAGACAGGACACCCGGGTACTTGTCCCAGCTCTACCTTAATTTTTTTTTTTAAGATTTTATTTGAGAGAGAGAGAGTGAGCAGAGAGAGGGGCAGAGTGAGAGAATCCTGAAGCAGTCTCCCGGCTGAGGGCAGAGCCCAACTCAGAACTCAATTCCATTACCTGAGCCAAAATCAAGAGTCGGGCGCTTAACCGATGGAGCCACCCAAGCACCCCAATTTGTATTTTTAATATTAATTTTTTTTGTATTTTGTAAAAATTTTTCTTTTTTTTTTTAAGATTTTATGTATTTATTTGACAGAGACACAGTGAGAGAGGGAACACAAGCAGGGAGAGTGGGAGAGGGAGAAGCAGGCGTCCCGCCGAGCAGGGAGCCCGATGTGGGGCTCGATCCCAGGACCCCGGGATCATGACCTGAGCCAAAGGCAGAAGCTTAACGACTGATCCACCCAGGTGCCCCAAAAATTTTTCTTAAAGTAAGATCTATGCCGAACGTGGGGCTTAAACTCACAACCCTGAGATCAAAAGTTGCCTGTTTCACTGACTGAGCTAGCCAGGCATCCCTCTACCTTGATGTGTGTGTGTGTGTGTGTGTGTTTTAAGATTTTATTTATTTATTTGATAGAGAGATAGCAAGAGAGAGAGAACACAAGCAGGGGGGTGGGAGAGGGAGAAGCAGGCTTCCCACTGGGCTCAGGGAGCCCGATGCAGGGGCTGGATTCCAGGACCCTGGGATCATGACCTGAGCCTAAGGCAGATGCTTAACAACTGAGCCACCCAGGCACCCCTGATGTGTGATCTTAAGCAAGTCATCTTTCCTCTCAGGAACTTGATAAAGCAGGTGAAAGAGGGAAGTCAGATTAGAAGATGATGCCAGAGGTTCCTTCCAGTTCTAATTAATGGAAGCTGATTATATTTTCCTCGTAATCATCTTTGCACATGCAACCTGCAGGAAGCCCTTTGAAACCTTTCTTGCTCTAGGAAAGATCTAGGCAAGGACAGCTCTTCTTTCCTTAGAGCTCTGCATCGATCTAGGAAGCCTGCTTTGTCTCCTCACTACTTGAGCAGGAATGCAGGAAGATGAGCAGGAAATTTGAGAAAGCCCCAGCAAGATAGCTTAGTATAGTGCAGAGAATGTAGGCTCAGGCATCCAAACCCTGGTTCTACTTATAGAGTAACTTTGAGAAAGTTACTTCTCTTTTCCAGCTATGACTTGCTATGAGAATTATATGAGTGATGTGAAAATGCCTGAACATCTGATAGTTACTGAATAAATATTAAATACTGTACCTGTCTTTACCCTCAGCACATACAATTTTCATGAGGCGAATACCAGTTTGAGGGGCGTCTGGGTGGCTCAGTCGTTAAGCGTCTGCCTTCGGCTCAGGTCATGGTCCCAGGGTCCTGGGATCGAGCCCCGCATTGGGCTCCGTGCTCCACGGGAAGCCTGCTTCTCCCTCTCCCACTCCCCCTGCTTGTGTTCCCTCTCTCGCTGTCTCTCTCTCTCTCTGTCAAATAAATAAAATCTTAAAAAAAGAAAGAAAGGAAGGAAGGAAGGAAGGAAAAGAAAGAAAGAAAGAGAATAAAATCTTAAAGAAAGAAAGGAAGGAAGGAAGGAAAAGAAAGAAAAAAAGGAAGAAAGAAAGAGAAAGAAAATACCAGTTTGAATTCTGGATCCACACCCCAAACTTTCCTGCTTTTTTCACAGAGGGTAGCTCCATTACTATATTTGAAATGAATTCCTGGCTCATCAGTCACTAGGCCAAGGCAAACAATCACGAGTGTTGGTATTATTACCCTCTAATCACAATCTCTGTCTCTTCATCGGTAAAGTTAGTAAAATATCACCTGCCCTGCCTACTTCAGAGATTAAATGACAGAACAATGTTTATGAAAACATTTTGTGAACTATATAAATGCAGGACACATACTACTGTTGGCAATTACACCCAAACAATAAGACAAATTCCCACACCAAACCTCAATGCCTTTTTAACCTTCCAGTTTCCCAGCCCCTCGCGCCCCGCCCCCTCCCGCCAGTTAGCGGAGTCCCGGGAGCGTGGACATAGCAGCCAACGCTCAGATGCAGATGGGCGCGACTTTCCGTGCTCAAAGCTCTAGCTGGGCCAGCAGGTTAGTCACCCTCGCCTGCTTCCTAACCGGGGCCCGGCAGTCACGCGGCAAGCGGAAGCAAAGGCGGCCGCTCCTCTACCCCCGCCCCCGCACACCCCGCCCCGCGTCCTCGGAACTTCCCAGCTTCCCCGCACCTGCCCCCCGGACTCGCAGCCGCAGGGCCTCGAAATCCTCCCTCGGCAGCCCCCCGGCCAGTCAGCGCGCAGCGTGACTCGAGGTGGCACTCCCATTGGCTCCATGTCCTGCCCCTCAAACCTCTTGCGTCGGGGCGCCTGGGGGGCTCAGTCATTAAGCGTCTGCCTTCGGCTCAGGTCATGATCCCGGGGTCCTGGAATCGAGCCCCGCATCGGGCTCCCTGCTCCGCGGGAAGCCTGCTTCTCCCTCTCCCACTCCCCCTGCTTGTGTTCCTGCTCTCGCTGTGTCTGTCAAATAAATAAGTAAAATCTTAAAAAAACAACAACAACAAAAAAAAAACCTCTTGCGTCCAATCAGACCCGAGTGGAAAGAGCGCCTCGGGGCTAGGGAGCGGATGCCTCCGCGAGTCTCCGGGGGCCGGGTCGCCGCTTTCTGGTTTTGTTTTCCAGCCTGTCGTGCGCTCGTCTGACACAGGTGACGGGAGGAGAAAAGGCACTTCGTGTGCACCGGTCCCAGCCATCGCCGTCCTTCCCTGAAGGGCCCCCAAACTCTCAGGAAGATTTACTGTCACTAGGGGAAACGCAGAGAGGGCGAGGCTGCCTGTGCCTTCCTGAAGTCCAGTTTGCGGACGCCTAGGCTCCCAACCCCCAGCTCGCAGTGCAGGCCCCCGCCGTGGCCCCCGGCCAGGGGCAACCCACTTTGCACTCCGGGTGTCAGGCTGGGGGCGGGGCTTGGCTGGGCCGGTCCAGGATGCGAGATCCTGGAAGGAAGAAGAGCGGCGGTGTTCCGGGCTTGGGCGGGCTGGGCGGGCTGGGCGGGCTGGGCGGGCTTGGCAGGGCTAGGCTCTTCGGAACAGGCAAAGAAGCGGTGGGCCCGTTGGTCTGAAGCAGAGATAAGGCCGGAGGCGAGATCCCCGGGTGGCAGGTGAGGAAGGGCGGTGATGGGAGGAGATCCCCGGGTGGCAGGTGAGGAAGGGTTCCCCGGGCAGCTGTGTGGGGAGAGTGCTCTGACCCTCCTGCAGCTCTCCCCGCACAATGGACTTCCGAACCCCCGACCTGCTGGACGTGTGGCTGGAGCCCCCAGAAGAGGTCTCAACAGGAGCCTTCCTGGAGCTGGGACTCCACTGCCCCCCTCGAGAGGTCCCAGGGACTAAGCTCCAAGAACAGGGTCTTCCAGGCTGGGAGCGCAGCGGGAGCCGTGGCTGTGTGAGTGTGAGGAACACAGGAGAGGGTGGGCCGAGCCAAGCCCCTAGGGTGGACATGAGCGGTAACTACCCCCATGTCCAAGGACACAAAGGACTGAAATTGAAGCGGGACGGATCTGGGTCTGATGTCAGGGAGCTCTCCAGAACGCTTCTCTGTACACATATACACTCTCTTGTACTGTAGGACCTTCAAGAGAGTGAGCCTGAAGATTTCCTGAAGCTTTTCATTGATCCCAATGAAGTGTACTGCTCAGAAGCATCTCCTGGTAGTGACAGTGGAATCTCCGAGGACCCTGGCCATCCAGACAGTCCTCCTGCCCCCAAAGCACCCAATTCCCCTGCTCTCTATGAGGTTGTCTATGAGGCAGGGGCCCTTGAGAGGATGCAAGGGGAAGCTGGGCCAGCTGTAGGGCTCCTCTCTCTCCAGCTAGGTCAGTGTTCTTTGTGGGAAGGGGACAATGGCCTTTCAGGTCCAGCCCTGGTCCTGGGGCTAAGGGGTTTTCCCAACCTGTGCCTCTCCCCGGGCCCTGCTGCCATTAGGGTATACCCTTCCTCTCCTTTCTCCTAGCTACCTGTGTCTCCCTCAGATCAGCGAAGCCCACCACTTATGGTGCCTGATGCTTGCACGGTCCTCGAGCTGCCCCTTGATGCTCACCCTCACACCCTGCCCAGAGCGGGCACTGCAAACCCAGTGCCTCCTGTGACCCTGGTGAGTCTTCAGTCAGCCAGATCCAGTACCCCGGGATACAACGATATGTACCCACACAGATGGGGAAAGGGGGTGAGGGAGGGGGGTAACTGATGCTAAACTCTTTGCCCCAATTTTTGTGGGCCTGAAGATCAGAGAGGCATGAGCAACTAAGAGCGGGAAAGGACAAGGGAGACAGAAGCCCTTGGAGGTAAGTTGGTGATAATTAAGGAGAAGGTGGGATGAGCCAGTTTGGGGAAAGGGCCTGGGAGAAAGCCCAGAACTTGTGTACAGTTTACTCAGCCACGGGTCAGGACGCAGAGTGGGATGGGCTGCCTGGGAATTCAGCCTGCTAGGAGGCACAAGGTGTAGAAGTTTCTGCTGGAACAACTGTGCAGCTGTGCCCACTGCCCAGGGGGTCACACACTGGGTGCCTTCAGAAGGCTGGGTGCGCTGCTTTCGGCGGGGAGGGGGGTGGTGAGAAGGAGTCTTGCTCAGGTCACTGTTGACCAACAGTCACTAGAAAGAACTGCTTGTGTGCAAAACATAGGGAACAGGTTCTAGCCTTCCTGCCAGTCTGTGGTTGAAGCTGGGACCGGAGTCCAAGCCAAGCAGCTCAGGATTGAGGGACCTTAAGAAGTCTGATGCTTCTAGGCTTGTGTTCACATCAAAACACTGGGGAGTTTGTGGTTTCAGGGGAGCAAGAAGGGATCATTAGGAAAAGGCAAGAAGACAAGAAATGGTTTGGCTAAAAGCCACAGACCATTAGGAGTCAATACGAGAAACAAATTCCTTTGAAGTCAAAGTGAAGCATAAATATTTCAAAAAGGAGTAGCAGAAAGGCAGGTTACTCGGTTGATAGGCTCAGGTTCATCAGATGTCATCTACCTGCCCCACATACTGTTACAAGAAGCTGCTAAATCTCGTGGCTCTTGGGAGTTCTTTGAGAGCATACAGAGCTTCAGTCTTGAAAGTGGGGCTCAAACCCTGAGGGAAAATTGGTCACTACCCCAGGGAGCTCCCTGAGGTTGACCCTGATGAGACAACACACTCTGCCAAATGGAAGTTAGTGGTCAAAAGTGAATGATTTGCTTGCTGTGAGATTAAGCAAACCCCGCCTTAGTGAGTTCCTCCCTGTCTTAAAAAACCCTTAAGGTCTGGGGAGGTGTAGACCAGAACAAGCCCTCCCTAGTTTGCTCAGAGTGCCAAGGTCCTAAGTCTGGGGGCAAAGGATGTAACACAAGCCCTCTTTTCTCCCTTCATAGCCCCAGGAGGCCCCTTTGGCTTCGTCCAGAGCCCGTCTGAATGAAGGTCCCTTCCCTCACCTCATTTTCATGGTTACTTATTCCTTAGTGCAAATGGGAAACTCTCTCCTGAAGGCATGCAGGGGGAGTGGCCTTGGGTGATGGAAAAGCGAAGACCCTCTCCCCATTTCATTGATCTCTGTTCTCCACCAGCTGCCCTGTCAAACCTTGTTCCTGACAGAGGAGGAGAAGCGTCTGCTGGGACAGGAAGGGGTTTCCCTGCCCACTCACCTGCCTCTCACCAAGGTAACATGCTTCCCCAAAGGGCATCCCAACCCTAACCCAGTGGACCCATCATGGCCTCTGAAGAGCCAGGATTACAGGGGCAAGTGGGGAATTGAGGGAGGTTAAGGGCCCAGGACTGACACACCCTGGGCCCCTAGGCAGAGGAGAGGATCCTCAAGAAGGTCAGGAGGAAGATCCGCAACAAGCAGTCAGCTCAGGACAGTCGGCGACGGAAGAAAGAGTACATCGACGGGCTAGAGAGCAGGTCTGTCTGGACTTACGTGTCTGGGCCTCCTTCCTTACCAAGGCAGGCAAGGTCAGGGACCACCTGATTGCAGACTGTCCTACCTTTCCACACTCCCTAGGGCGGCTGCCTGTTCTGCACAGAACCAGGAACTACAGAAAAAAGTCCAGGAGCTGGAGAGGCACAACATGTAAGTGAAAGCACAGTGTGCGCCCCCGGGGGGACGGGCGAGTGGCACGCGGGGGCACAAGCTCCCAGGAAAGCTGATCCTTCATTCCTCCTTCCCCAGCTCCCTGGTAACTCAGCTCCGCCAGCTGCAGGTGCTCATTGCCCAAACCTCCAACAAAGCTGCCCAGACCGGCACTTGTGCTCTGGTACTCTCTCCTTCCCGTCTCCCCGCACTCCCAGCCACACCACCTTCCCATTCCTGACGATTCCACTGCCCTCTGTTCATGCTGCCCTTGGGCCTCTTCCTTTAGTGTCCCCACAGTCCAAGTGTCCTTTTGCTTTCTCCAGATCCTTCTTTTTTCTCTGGCTCTCATCGTCCTGCCCAGTGTCAGCCCCTTGCAGGGTCTCCGGGAAGCTGGGACTGAGGATCACCAGCCTCATGGAGGTGAGGTAGGGGCCGGGGGGGGGGGGTTCCAGGGTAGTCAAGAGGTGGGAGGGAGGTCCTGTCCTGTCTAGGATCTCCCCACCCAAGGGAGCACTCCGTTACTGCCCTTTTTCTTTCACCCCACAGTGATTTCCAGAAATATCCTGACTCACAAGGACATGACAGAAAATTTGGAGACCACAGTGGTAGAGTCCAGATTGGAGGGGCCACCTAGGGCCAAGGGTGTAAATGGCTCAAGGACCCTGCTGGAGAAGATGGGAGGGAAGACAGGCCCCAGTGGGCATGTCAGAACTGGCCTGCATGCAGATGAGATGTGAGCTGGAACATTTCCCAGCCCACTTCCCAGCTGCAATAAGGAATCCAGGATTCCCCTGGGATTCCCATTCAGAGTTCTTTGGCCTCAGGGGTCTGAATCATTTCAAGACCCCCTAAGCGTCTGTACCCCAAGGCCCAGGCTATGCGAGGAGGCATTTCAGATACTTTTGTTACACATCTGCAATTTTATTTTTTCTTTGGGGTTAGGGTTGGGGAAAACAGAGGTTTTGGCTGAGAAATAAACTTTTTTGCTAAAATTATATCCTGAAAATTTTAAGTAAGTACCAGAAAAAGATGAAGATAGGTAGTTGGTAAACTGGGGCCTAAAGTTGCTATTCCATTTCTGTCTCCAGAACTTCCTGTACCAAACCAAATTATAATAGAGAAGAAAACTATTCTATACTTTGCTCGTTAATGATCTAGACAAGAGCCGGAGAAAGAGGTGCCACCACAAGTTCCCAAGAATGAAGGGCACAAGTCCATTCATTCTACTGTCTGTGTTCGAGGTACAATCCCTAAGACCCCTATCAAAGAGTGGAAGGTAGCTATATGGACTCGATTTGCTTCCGGACCTTTTCCAGAGCTTTTCTGTCCAGCTGTCGCTGACGAACGATGACAAGGCAAGCGAAGACCAAGGCCACACCCACAATGGCCCCTTCAAATTTCCAGAATAAGTGTTGTTCCATCAGAGCTGAGCGGCAGCTAAGAGCAGGAAGAAACAGTTATTCCCAGGGAAGGCTGGACCACCTCTCCCTCCAATCTCCCTTCTAGTGAAGCCTAACCAAGATACATCTGAGGGGAAAGGAGGAAAACCCACAGTCAGCCTTCTAACGTTTCCCCTACACAAATCTTACTCAAATATATTGTTCAACTTATTTTCCAGTGATGTAAACAAAACTGGTATTAACCAATTCTACTGATGAGAAAAGACCAATGATATAGTGCTGAGGAGTAGAGCTGGAACTTAAGCTCAAATACTTTGATTCCCCCCCTCTTCCTATATACCACACTACCTCCAGACAGAAAGATGTGAGGCTATTAGTCTGCCTAAAATCACAAGAACAGAAGAGGTGATCTAGGAGGTTTCAAGATGAGAAACAACACTTGCCTTTTGAATTCATTCCTCTTAGATGAGCTGCATGTGATTTTCTCCACATACCCTGTGGAACCACATTCAGGGGTGGTTTTCTGTCAGGAGAAAAGGACCAAAGCACATGTCAGGTAAGAGAAGCAGAAAGAATGCCATTCAGAAGGGGCAGGTGTCCAATTGCTATGACTCAGCGCTGGTGGGCAACAGAGAACCAACAAAGAGTTCTGGTTCTAATGGGGATGGTGGATAATAAACATATTAGAAAGAACACTTTAGAGGGGAGCTTGGGTGGCTCAGTCGTTAAGCGTCTGCCTTCGGCTCAGGTCGTGATGGGATCGAGCCCCACATCGGGCTCCCTGCTCCACAGGAAGCCTGCTTCTCCCTCTCCCACTCCCCCTGCTTGTGTTCCCTCTCTCGCGGTCTCTGTCAAATAAAGTCTTTAAAAAAAAGAATACTTTAGAGGCAATAGCCTAAGACAGACAGGGACAGGTTCCAGAGCTTACTGGATTAAAAATGATCATGACTGGGGTGCCTGGCTGGCTCAGTCAGCATTTGACTCTTGATCTCAGGGTTATGAGCTCCAGCCCGACATTGGAGCTTACTTAAAATTTTTAGGGGCGCCTGGGTGGCTCAGTCGTTAAGCGTCTGCCTTTGGCTCAGGTCATGATCCCGGGGTCCTGGGATCGAGCCCCGCATCAGGCTCCCTGCTCCGCGGGAAGCCTGCTTCTCCCTCTCCCACTCCCCCTGCTTGTGTTCCCTCTCTCGCTGTGTCTCTGTCAAATAAACAAAATCTTAAAAAAAAACAACGGGAGAGAGAATAAATACTCACAGCCTGGAAATTAGAACATTGAGCACATTCTTCTGCCACCACAAATTCTTCCACCAGCCAGCACGGCAAATTTGAGGTGCTCACTAAGAAGGGAGAGAAATGCCAGCCCCGGGCTTCATTTAGAAAATACTTCTCCCAAAGGTGCTGCCCACCCAACTTCTCAGCACAGCTGAACGCTTCCTTCCACGTGGCGCCACCCTTTCCCACCTGTGCTCCCGCTAAATGGGAGGATGTCAAAAGAAAACACCATGGGGGTGTCGAGTTACCACACCATCACCCACCTGACAGCTGCTCCGCCCGCACAGGAGCCTCGGCTTGGCTGCAGCCGGAGGAAGGAGGGTGAGGGGTGAGGGGTGGGGGGTGGGGGGTGGGAGGCACAGATCAGAAGCTAGAAAACAGGGAACGCCCCACCTCCGCGGTGCAGGATCACGCACTCCCTCCCCGCCTCCCCCACCCCCATCCCCCTCACCCCCTACCCCCAAGGGCGTGGACGACGCGATGCTCCCGCCCCCTCCTTTCCTCAGCCCTCAGCCTCTTCTTACCAGAGCTTTAAGGTGAAAACGCAGAGCAACCAACAGAGGTGGCTGCCCTGGGGGAGGCCACGCCTCTCTCCGCCCGCAGGCATGGAGTGCTCAGTGTCGCGCTTGTCGGGACGGAGGGACTTGCTTGACTGGCCTTGTGCCTCCGTCGGAGCGCTGCAGCCCCCCGGGAGGTTCCAGGTCGGGGCTGCAAAATGCTGGGATTGCCTATCAGGGCAAAGGCATTATTGGGACGTCCCCATGGCCACGGCAAGAAAAGCCAACACGCATTTGTGGGACTGGGCTGTGAGCTCACTTCTCGGACCCGCACGGCCCTCGGGACAGGCCGCGGGGCCTACGGCCTAGCGCCGCGTTACGGCCGGGGCCTTCCGTGTCGCGGCCATCTTCCCCGCGGAGGACGCCGGGCCCGCGGAGGGCGGGGGGGGCGGGGCAATGCCGCAGCCGCGGGGGATGCCGGGACCGGGGAGGGTTCCAGCGGCCGGCCCCTCGGCGCAGGCGCGCGAGCTGCGGCCGGCTGGGTCCGCGGGCTGGGCTGCTGCACGTCACCGGGAATTCGCTGGGACCCGGGCCTCGTGTGTGGTGCGAGGCGCCCCGGGAAGTCGCCCGTTGGCCCATTCTGGGCGGGGAGAGCAGCGACACGGAAGGAATAGTCCGTCGCTGCCTCCGAAAACGCTGGGATTGCCCGCAAGCCGCCGCCGGACCTCCGTCCTGCCCCGACGGTCCCGGGGGCGAGGCGACACTGCACTTTCTCCTCGCGAGGCGCGGTGTCTTCTTCTCGCGTGCTCATTTACTCTTAAGTAATTTTTTTGCGTAATCCCTGCGCCCCACGCGGGGCCTGAACCCAGAGCCCGAGGTGAGGAGCCTCCCGCTCCCCCGGCCGAGCCGCCGGCGCCCCCGCTGCGGCTGGTTCCGGACTGGCCCCGGGGCTGGTGCTCTGATGAGCTCCTCGGACCTCCGCCCTCCGGCTCCCGCCCGTGGGAGTCCCACGAAGAATCGAGGCGGGACCCTCCGGCGCTGTCCGCCTCTCAGAAGTGTCTAAAATGGAAAGGTTAATGTGCAGTTTCCAGGGTTTTTTGGCGAGATGCAAATGAAACGTGTAGTTAAGTATTTTTCCTTTATCCTCTAATTGCATGGGTCCCATTACTTCCCTACTCTTTGAATTCAACATTTAGGTCAAAAATTTTGGCCTTCAGTAAATCTGAGGAGTCCGGTTTTGTCCCTGTTTTGTAAGTGCAGAGTAGAAGTGATTTCCAAGGCCACACAGCGAGTGAGTGGGAGAGCCCAGACGTTCAGTTCCAAGGCCAAAGATTCGTCCCTGCTTTCCACCCGCAAACCCCCACACAGATGTACCCAGAATTGCAGAGACTCGGCCTGCACCCTGGGTTTGTGCTTTACTGCCTGGTACTAGTCACTATCGAACTCTCCCCGTATTTTCCTCCAATTTCACGTATACGTAGGTTTACAGCCTTCCAGACAATCAGACCGTGTAAGTTCAAGGAGGTACTTAAATTCATATAAATATGGTCACTAATAGTAATCTGTCCCCCACTTCTCAAGATGAAAGGGCTTGTCCCCAGACTTTTTTGTTAACCCTACCCCACATTCTCCTGTCCCAGGAAGTCTTCCTAGCCTAAATACAACAGCTGCTCCCTCCACCCCACAGCCCTAAGGGCTATAGCACTTCATTTTAGGATTAAGAGTATAACCAGTGCTATGTCCCACGAATTCTGTCTTCCCATCAGATGTAGAGCTGGCCCCTCAAGAGCAGAAACAATCAGACTGTGGAAAGGTCATTATTAGGTGGGAGTTGAGCCTGAGCTTTACCTTTCTTCTATTTGCTCGTTCCTTTAAGTTACTGTTTGTGCATGTCAATAGTTGTATGTTACAGGAAGTAGGTGTGAGTATTTTCCAGTAGCTTTTAGGAAAGTTTGGCTGAAATCTTATAGCATCCTGTTACTTCTTATCAAACCTGACCACGTCTCTTGACAAGCTATGAGAGTCGTAAGCTCTCACTTCCCATAGGTGTATACCAAGCAACTGAGTAGGTCTCTACACTGAAACTGGATTTTAAAACATCTGCTCTGGGGTGTGATGAATATGTCAGTGTTCTTCCTGGGATTCACAAAATGCAAGCCTTTCCTCATAACCTTGAGCAAAGCACACCAGCTGGGCCCTTGACTACAGAGCCTGGGCCTGATCTTTACCCCATAGAAGTTTGGTATTTAACACATGGATCCAGTCATTCCGCAGTTCTTCTGCCAGCACGGTCACGCTTTTTCCTGGTGTGGTGTTTTACCAACAAACAGCAGCACAGAAAGCTTTGCTGCTGACCCCAGGTTGTGCCATCCATTTCCATGCCATAGGTGTGGGGGTTTCTGAAGTGCCTTGAACTTCCTATTTGTAAATTAAACTTCTAATGGTATTTTGTGTAAGCCAAATGTGATATTTTCATTAATCCTGATAAAACGTCATCTGTGAGATAATTTTGCTGTTTAGAAACTGCTGTGCAAGGGTGCAAGGGGGCTGTGTATGTTTATGGGGACTGTACATCAAGCCTGAGTATTTGGGTTGTGGTTCTTTTGCATGCCTGCAGTTTTGCCTCTTTCTTATTCAGTACTTAGGAGCTGTTTTTGTTAAGATTTGCTTGTCCTTCTTGTAAATTCCACCCAAACTTGACCACTGTATTTGGCACAAACTAAATGTTCAATAAAGATTTATGACTCGGGGGTGCCTGGGTGGCTCAGTCGTTAAGCTTTGGCTCAGGTCATGATCCCAGCGTCCTGGGATTGAGTCCCGCATCGGGCTCCCTGCTCAGCAGGGAGCATGCTTCTCCCTCTTCCTCTGCCTGCCTGCCTACTTGTGATCTCTCTCTCTGTCAAATAAATAAGTAAAATCTTTAAAAAAAAAAAAAAAAGATTTATGACTAGGGCACCTGGGTGGCTCAGTCAGTGAAGTGTCTGCCTTCGGCTCACGTCACGATCCCCAGGTCCTGGGACTGAGCCCCACGTCAGATTTCCCGCTCAGCAGGAAGCCTGCTTCTCCCACTCCCACTCCGGCCCTTGTGCATACACACTCTCTAATAAATAAATAACTAAAAAAAAAAAAGATTTCTGACTAAATGAACTTCCGTGTCTCATTTTCCTCATCTATAAAAGTGGAAAATAATGCCTACCGGCTACCTAAAAGGATTGCTGGTGGAACCAGAGATGCTTGAAGAAATCATAGGATAAACAGTTCCTCGAGTCTAGGGCTGTCACTCCCCTGGGAAGGCCTAAGAGTCCTCTGGAAGCCAGGCAAGGCTCTGCCCATAAGGATCCTCTAAACCCCATAATGGAAAGAGGCTGTCCAGACCTCCAGGTTCAGAGGACCTCCTTGCTCTTTTCCTCATCCATTCAGGGACAGGTCCTGGTGTCACAGGAACCCAGCCCGCTTCTGGCAGCCCAACCACCTTAGAGGTAGGAATTAGGTCTGATGACCAAAGTCACCCAAATCAGGAACCTTTGTGTGGGTGGTGGTTTTTCATACTGAGCAAGCCCATGCAGAGTCATAGGGTCAAACCTACAGGGTGAGGTGAGTCAACCTCTCACACAACCCTAAAACCTGATCCAATAACAACAAATCGACTGTTTATTTACATTTATGTGTGCCCTAAAAGCCCAGGGAAGGTCTGACACCCAGGGCCGGTTCTTCCCTTCCCCCATCTCCCTTCCTTCCCTCGCCTCTCTCTCCTCTTCGCCTCTCCTTCCCGTCTCCCTACTTTCCTTCTCTTGCCTTCCCGTGTTCTTCTCCATTCGCTCCCTACTCTTCCACCATCTACCTACCTCTAGCCCCTCCAGGCCCCACCTGCTGTTTCTCCCCTGCCCACCCACAGCCCTGCCTCCCTCAGGTTCAGCCTCCAGGCCTAGGGTCCTCAGCCGAGGGAGCACTTGCTGGTGTTCTTCTTGTCACAAGCTTTCAGGTCAGTGCCAGGGGGCTTGTGGCTGTTTCCCTAGAAGTGGAAGGGCACCGGGATCAGGATGACAATAGCTGGCAGAGACTCTACACTGTTCGAAGGGGACCCACCCTGGGCGGTGTTAGCCCTACTCCCCTCCTGGAGTTTCACTCCTAACACATACACGTGCACACAGCTGTGCCCAGTCCAGCAGAACCAACTCACCGGTCTCCGGCCTCCTGACTTGAGCAAGATGTCCCGGGCCAGGGAACTGAAAGCCTGACGGGGAAAGCAGTGAGTGGTGAGAACAGGCTGGAGGGGAGGACGGGCTTGCTGTCCAACAGCTACCTCTGGGAGTGGGGGTGGACATGCGGGGGTGTCTCACCTCATCCACATTTGTGCTGGATTTGGCACTTGTCTCAAAGAATCGGATCCCATGCTCCCGAGCCAGCTGCGAAGTGGAGGGAGAAGAGAGGTGGGTAAAGAGTGGAGGCCCCCTGGGGTCCAACTCCGTCGTGGCCCGGCCTTCACCTTGACAGCCTGCTCCTTCTGCACCTTCCTCTTGGCCTCCATGTCACACTTGTTCCCCAGCAGCAGGCGTTCTACCCCAGCAGAGGCGTTCTGGCAGCAAAAGCATAGGAAGGGTAAGGTAGGTCCTGCTCACCTTCACGGTCCCCTCATCCTCCAGGTTCTACCTAGTCTCCTGTCTCTTCAGGAGTGTCTTTACCTCTTTGATGCTTTTCATCCAATTCTGAATATTCTCGAAGGATTTCTCATCTGTGATGTCATATACTAGGATAATGCCCTGGGGGATGGCAAGAGTTCACCACGGAGCCTTGGGCCACGTTCCCCCATTTCGGCTTCCTGCAAGTTCTACCCGTGAAGCTACCCATTAGCCCATACGGGGCCCTCCACCTCCCACACTCTGCCCCCTCCCCTTGTCCCTGCCCAACCCCTGCCCCTGGGGACTCATAAGCCTCCACTCTATTGCCTCACCCCTGTCCAGACCCACACCTCGTACCATGGCTCCACGGTAATAGGCAGTAGTTATCGTCTTGAATCGCTCTTGGCCGGCTGTATCCCTGAAGAAATGGGATATTTTGTGGGGCAGGAGAGAGGGGATCACTCTCCAAAGAGAGAATTCCCCCTGCTAAGAATTCACCTCTTGCGACAGGGTGGGGCTGAAAGGAACAGAATCAGAAAACAGTGACGGGGGAAGAGGAGGTGGAACAGCTGGGAGAGGACGCAGACCGAAGGAACGAGGCCTCTCGGGTTATCTGCGGAACACTTCTCTGTGCCAGGCGCCATCTTCGCCCTACCTTTGTGAGACGCGCTTTATGGTCCATTTGACAAACGAGGACAGAGATTTCAAGAGGCTAGATAACTAATGAACCTCATTCTGCAGCAGAACCAGAGTCCAAACCACAATCTGCTCTGATCTGTTGCACCCTAAATCTTCCTCAAGCCAGCAGCCACTTCCACACTTTCAGAGTCTCCAGCTTCTTTTGGCAGGACAGCCCTCTATCCTCAGCTTTCTGGGCTCTCCGTCATTCACAGACTTAAAGTCTCCACTCTGTTACTTTAATGCTGTGTACCTGCTTTAATGCCATTTCCATGTGGCAGCTCTGCACACAATTACTGTCAAGTGCAGAGAAGGCTCTGGAGCCGGGAGAGGCAAGAGAGTTAGAAAACAGCTGAAAATAGTTGAGCGAGAGGCAAGAGAGTTAGAGAACAGCTGAAAATAGTTGAGCGAGCTGGAAGAAAGTCGGAAGGACGACGTCTGAGTGAGGTGACAGGAAGTGGCCCGGGAGAAGTGCCGGAAGGAGCGGTCGGGAGAGGGAGAGAGATGAAGCAACATGGGAGGGAAACGGTGCTGGGAGGGAAATGAGGGAATGTGCCCAGCAGTCCTGGGGGTTCACTCACCAGACCTGCAATTTGATCTTCTTCCCCTCTACATCCACAGTGCGGATCTTGAAGTCAATTCCTAGGAGGGGAGCGCACACACTTAAGTTGAGACCGTGTGGGCACGTAGGGTGTTCGATGGGAGACACGGGAACGGAGCAGCCCCAGTGCTAGGAATTCTGCAGGCGGGTGCACTTGGGAAGCAACCTTGTTGCAAGCGTAAAACGAGAATTTTCTCAAAGCTGTATTTGTCTAGTAAGCATGTTGTTTTTACTGAGATGGTATGGCTCAGGGAGGGGGAGGTGATGGAAATTCTACAGGGAGACTTAAGGCACCTCTTAGGTCCACTCAGCCGCACCAGTTGACAGCTTTCTTAATTCAGTGTCTCCCTCAAAACATGACTTTCAGTTTCCCCTTCCCTTCTGTTTTCCTAAAACCCTGTGCTCTCAGTGCTCCAGCCACCCTCCAGCCCGACAGAATACGGAGCCAGGAAAGAGGTAATGAAGCCAGTTCGTGTGAGTTAACTAGCAGGCCACGCTTGCAAGCAAGAAGGAGTCCTCCTGAGACTGAACTAGGAAAGAGGGGCGTTTTCCTTCCCTTTTCTTTTCTTTCTTTCTTTTTTTTTTAAGATTTTATTTATTTATTTATTTGTTTGACAGAGAGAGAGAGAGCACAAGCAGGGGGAGCGGCAGGCAGAGGCAGAGGGAGAAGCAGGCTCCCCACAGAGCAGGGAGCCCCACGTGGGGCTCGATCCCAGGACTCTGGCATCATGACCTGAGCCGAAGGCAGACACTTAACCGACTGAGCCACCCAGTGCCCCTTTTCTTCCCTTTTCTAACCAGAATTGTTTTGAGACTCCCCTTGTTTTATTTCCCAGGCCAGAGGAGAGGAAAAAAGACAAGGAGGGAGGAGGGGAGGCAGTGTTCTTAGTGGAAATGTGGGCACCTCCCCAGAGCCTGTTGGGAGCCCAGGGAGGAGGCTGAGTCACCAGGCTGACTCAGAGCCCCCAAAAGTCCCCCCACTCCCACCCTCCTTGCCTGGCTGACTGCATATTCACCATCCTAGTCCTTGGGCCACCCTCCAGCACAGACAGCCACTCTGTTCCTCCCTGCCCACCACCATTAAGTTGAGGGGCAGGGAGACTGGGAAGTGGTAAGGTGGGGATGCAATGGGAGGGTGTGAAACTCAGCAAGACAGAAAGAGGCTAATGGAATCGGAAAGCATGTTCAGGGAGGGGGGTACAGGAAATACAGAGAGGGTCAAGAGTTCTAGGCGGGTGGGGGTGAGGAAGAGATGCGCAGCGGGAAATAGAAAAGGGTTCATGTGGATTTGGGGAGATGAGGGAGAAGGATGGTACCAGGAAAACAAGGGGTTGACACAACGGAGAAGTTACCTGGAGGCCTCAGAGAGGTTAGAGGTTGGGTACCATCCAGAGAGATGTGCGGGGGATGGGTCTGAGACAGGGGCTGAGAGTTTAGAAGCCTCCCTCTGGGGGACTGAAAAGTGGGGCCACTAGGAACCTGGGAGCCTGGGGGAGCTGGGAGTGTGGGACAGGCCAGCGGGCTCACTGCCGGTGAAGATGCAGGGGTGAGGGCCTAGAGGGGGTGTGTGTGTGGGGGACAGGCCAGCGGGCTCACCGCCGGTGGAGATGTAGGGGTGAGGGCCTGGGGGGAGCCGGGGGTCGGGGGCACGGCCGGCGGGCTCACCGATGGTGGAGATGTAGGTGTTGTTGAAGCTGTCCTCTGCAAAGCGAATGATCAGACAAGTCTTGCCCACCCCCGAGTCCCCGATGAGCAGCAACTTGAAGAGGTGGTCGTAGGCTTTGGCCATGGCGGACACTGGGGAGCCAGGGAAGGCGCCGGTGGGCGGGACCGCGGGGCTGGCAGACGGCGCGGCCCGGAGCCCAGGCCAGGAAGTTTTCCTCCCTCTCCGCCCAGGCTCCGGGAAAGAGGGGAGGCGGCCCTGCCGTGGGCCCCACCCCCTGGCCGCCCGCCCCTGCCCCCGGGACGGCTGGGCACCTCCCGCTCGCTCGCAATCCGCGACAGGGTGGCTGTGGAGAAGGGGGAGCCGCTGCCAGCCACACGGCCCACCGACGGGGGCGCCTCAGAATCTGGGGGATGCAGGCTGAAGGCGGGGCTGGCACTGGGGGCTGAGCCAAGGGACCCCAGGTCCACTCAAGGGTGGACGCCTTTGGGGCACTTCTGGGCTCCGGGGTTCCCAGCCCTCAGATCCGGCCCAGCTCCCTGGGAACGCGGCCGGGCGCCCTGGAGCACCAGTCACTTGTGGGGACGGTCTGCCCCCTGGTGGACGGCGTGAAAAGGTGTCCCCATGGGCCCGAGACACACACACACACACACACACACACACACCACCCCACATACACACCACGCGCACCACACAAACAACCCCCCCACACCCCACATACACACACTACATACACATATCACGTACCACACCACAGACACACATACACACACCACGCACACAACCCCCCACCACGTACACACACACACCACAGACACACATACCACACACATTCACCATGTACACACACGTACACACCACACACACGTACATACTACATATGCACCACACATATACACAATCCCCACACCACACACACACCACACACACCACACCCCGATTCCCATCACACCACACACATGCCACACACACCATTTATACACATACAGACTACACACACCATGCACACCACATACACACAGCACACACATCACATAGACAAATATCACCCACAAACACACCCACACCACACACACACCACACACACCACACCCCGATTCCCATCACACCACACACATGCCACACACACCATTTATACACATACAGACTACACACACCATGCACACCACATACACACAGCACACACATCACATAGACAAATATCACCCACAAACACACCCACACCACACACACACCCCACCTCATAGACACCACATACACACACCCACACCACATACGTACATCACACATACACCATACACATCATACATATACCACACAAACACCACACATCACACATTAACATCACACACCCCACTACCACACAATCACACACTACCACACCTACATCATACCACACACACATCACACCACACACACCCTTCCACCACCCCCAACTCAACCCCCACACCCTCCATACCACACCACACCTCCTCACATCCCCCCACACCACACACACACACACACACACACTCTCTCTCTCTCTCTCTCTCTCTCTTTCACTGAGACACATTCTGGGGCTTTATTAACAACAGTATTCAAATCTTCTGGGACCCTGTTTGTGATTTCTCTGACAAGCCAGTTTCAGGAAGACATAAATTGGGACTATAAATGCCTGGTTTCATTCTTTTGATGAGGTATGGATCTTTAAGAGAGCCCTGAGGCTGCCCTCCTGACACCACACTGAAAGGGCTGTGAAATGGCAATGAAAAAGCTGAAGTATGGAAAACACGGCTATAAAGAAACAAGTTTGTCTTCGGAAAAAAATTATTCAAACTATCTGCTTTTCTAATAGTCGGTGAGTAGAATTGTCCTTGTGCAGTGTACTGGTTCTGAGAAGACATCTTTTGTCACTCCGCCCATCCTTGTCATCTTCTGTGCCCACGCTTGCCCGTTCTCAGACACAGCTGTTCGATCCCCCTCTTGTCCATCCTCTCACCTCCCGTTGTCTTCAAGCTGTATCACAAACCTTGAGTCTTCTCTATTTCTCCTCACGGGTCAAACCATCTCCTACCAATTATTTATTTTTTAAAAGATTTTATCTATTTGACAGAGAGAAAGAGCGCACAAGCAGGCGGAGCAGGAGAGGGAGAAGCAGGATCCTCGCTGAGCAGGGAGCCGGATGCAGGGCTCGATCCCCAGACCCTGGGATCATGACCAGAACAGAAGGCAGGCGCTTAACTGACTGAGCCACCCAGGCGCCCCCTCTACCAATCCTTCAGCTTTCACGAATTGTTCTGATAAAAACTCATCAATTCTTTTTCTTCTCATTTTGCCTGGATCTGGACTCTCCATCCCCAAAGTGTGGTGTGTGCGGTGCTCACCTCTCTAAACAGTGCTTATGCTGGTGTACACCAGCTGTCACTGGAACCTAACCCCAGTATGCTTCGCCCTTAGCTCTCAGAGCTTTGAAGGCAACCATGCCTTTCCCTCCCTCAATTATGGCCGGCTCATTCTGGCCTTGGTTTTCGTCTTCACAAGCTCTTCCATCAGCCTAGAATGCGTTTCTCCCAGGCTGTTGCCTGGTTGATACCCTGTCTTTCAGAATTCAGCCTAAATGTCACTTCCTCGGGGGACTTTCTGGCCCCTCAGTGGTGTGCTGCGACCGGTTCTTGCTGGTCGTTAAGAACAAACTGTGCTTCTCTCTTACCAACGCCGTGTTTAACGATGTCACACTGGTAGTCTGAAATTGGCCACAGTGGGGGTATTTACACCACTGAAATTAGCGAAGACAAGTCAGGGCTCCGGGCGCCTTGTGAACCTTTACCAGCACGCCCCTGACTAGAACTCACATGCCTTTCCTTTGATTCCAAGATACCACTCGAGAGTCATCCTCGATCCTCCTTATGACAAAGGGACATTCTAAACGCTGCGTCCGACTGCAGAAGATGATGCTTCGGTCTTCATGTTTGCTTTCTTCTCGTTCTGTCAAGCGTGTCAGTGCTGCGAGGATGTGAACGCTCGGGAAGTCACTGCTGGTGCAGATTGGCGGGAAGGGCTGTGGGAACGTAAAGTGGCACCGCCGTCTCGGACGGCGGGGTGGCAGGACTTCGGGCGGCTTCTTGGACCGCGCTGGGCGTCCCTTCGCAGTGTCCGCGCGACACAGCGTGCGGAGCAGGCGCAACGCTGCCCCTAGCGAGCACTACGTCAGTGTCTGATGTCATCGTCATTAGAGGAAAAAGACTGGAAAGACACGACAAAACTCAACGGCGGCTATAACCCTCGCAGTAGGCTGGGGATGCGGGAAATAGGAGGGCTTTCTTTTCCCGTTTTTACACTTCTGAGTTGTTAACTGGCAAAGTAAACGCACTGAAAAACAGCAAAGGAATCCGAGAAGTCCCGGGCATGGCTCGGCCGCGCGGTCTTCCTCAGCAGACCCTGTTAAGGCGCTCCCACCGTCGCGGCGCAGCAACCCCCGTCGGAAGTCGACCGCAGGAAGGCGTCCATTTCTGGTGGAGGCGGCGCGCGGACTCCGGCATGGCTGCCGATCGCGCACGCGTCACTTCCGGCGGGCGGCGGATATAAGCGGCAGGATTTCCGCTTTCGCTCCTTTCCGGCGGTGACGACCTCCCCACGAGAACATGCCCGTGAGTTCCTCGGCCCGGCTCTCGGCGGAGCCCTCGCCTCCCGCGCGCGCGCGCGCGCGCCCCTCCGCCGGACGCGGGCCGCCGGGACCGGCCGCAGGCTTCAGGCCGCGGGCGGCGGGCGCGGGGGCGGGCGGCGTGCGGCCCGGGGCGGGGGTAAGATGGCGGCCCCGCTGTGGACGCCGGGCGGAGAGGGCTGCTGCCCTTGCTGCCGCTGCCGCCGGGCGCCGCCGCCGTCCTGACCGCGCCTGTCTGCCCCTCGTAGCTCGCGAAGGATCTCCTGCACCCGTCCCCGGAAGAGGAGAAGAGGAAGCACAAGAAGAAGCGCCTGGTGCAGAGCCCCAACTCCTACTTCATGGACGTGAAGTGCCCAGGTGAGGGGCGCCGCCCGGGGGGGGGGCGGGGCCTGAGGACGGCGAGGGGTGGATCCCGGAGGGAGCTTTGGAGACGGTGGGGGGGATGGACCCCGGGGGAGATGGTGGGCCGCCGGGGGCGGGGGCACGGCTGGCCCGACTGCTTCCGAGCGGGCTTGAAAACGTGCGTGTGGATCCGGCCCATCACGTCTGGAGGGGACGTCGTGTCCTGACAGTTAACGCACGCGGGCCCGCGCTCGAGCAAAGGCGTGGCAAGTAAAGGTCCTGACTCCCTGCTTCCTGATGTCTTTTCCCAGGATGCTACAAAATCACCACCGTCTTCAGCCACGCACAAACGGTAGTTCTGTGTGTCGGCTGCTCCACTGTCCTCTGCCAGCCCACAGGAGGAAAAGCAAGGCTTACAGAAGGTGAGCTGATGAACGAACGTTGTCATTTTGAGCTCTGAGTTTTGTAGTGAGGGATCGTGTTATCTGACTGCCTCATAAAGGTTGTTGGAGTTGGAAGTCGTTCGTCCACACGCCTACCTCCCCCAAGAAAGTATTAACGAGCAACCACAGTTTCTTAGTGTCAAAACCCTGAAAGCTGAGGCGGAGAAGTATTAAAAGGGACTTCGTTTGAGCTAGTGGTAAGTTTCTTAAACGACTGAAGTGGTAGCTACAGGTTTAGAGGAAAGTAAAGATGTAGCTTTCTCGTGGGTGGGTCATCAGGCATGCCCTTGTTTTGTGGGGGTGGGGCAGGATAAGTAACCTCGGAACCTTTTTCTTCCAGGATGCTCCTTCAGGCGGAAGCAGCACTAAAAGCACCCTGAATCAAGATGAGTGGGACACTATCCCAATAAACAGATTTTGGATACATCCTGTTTATTGTCTTTGTTTTACTGCTAGGAAGTTCCTACCTCAAGTACTCAGGGGCAACCAGAAGAGTGGACTGCTAGAGTCATTTGGGGCAAGTAAGTGACCAAGTACTTAAAAAGTCTATTTGGGACATTTCTGTCCAGCTAGGCTCACTGAGTAAATCTTTGGAACTTGGTAAAAACGTGGGATACTATGTAAATGGATATTTTCTTTCACTTTTATGTTTTCATAGCATTAAGAATCAACAGTTGACCTTTAAAATACAGCTTAACATACACATACACCACTTTAGCGCAGAACAGCTTAGGATCCTTTATTTACAGTTTTCAGAAGCCTACCTAGTTTGGGGGCTTATGGCTCCAGTCCTCTACAGTTGAGGGGATTTGTCCAAGTGGAGGTTAGTGCCTTACACTCCATAGCCAGTGTTGTAGCCGACTCTGGCCTGGTGGGGGTTGTGGACTCACGAAAGGTGGGGGAGAACGTGTGGTGGAGGTATAAGAACCTAGAAGTAAAAATGAGAAACAGATGAAGTGTGAATAAAATGTGGATACTTGAGCTTTTCAAAAGTGAGGGTGGTGATTTACCTGGTTGTGGCGTCCCTAGAGTCGGTACATAAACAATTGGAACTGTCTGTATCTTGTTTAAGAAGGCGTTATACGCTGGAAAAAGAACAACGCAGATGTCACCATTATTTCAAGGCTTAGCGGTGGTTTCCACTTCCAAGTGGGGTTCTGTCATATGCACTTTACTGCTTCTTGGTGGTAAGTTGAGCAGGACCTTTCGTCCACTAGGTGATTAGGGAGGCTGAATGATTTCCAGCTGCTTGTCACAGCTAATTTTCATCCTCGTAGTTGGTGAAATTAAAGATTATTTATTTGACAGAGCACAAGCAGGGGGAGCAGCAGGCAGGCAGGGGGAGAGGGAGAAGCAGGCTCTCCGCCGAGGAAGGAGCCTGATGCGGGGCTCGATCCCCCAACACTGGGATCGTGACCTGAGCCGAAGGCAGTTGCTTAACCAACTGAGCCACCCAGGCGCCCTAGTTGGTGAAATTAAATGAGGGCAGTTTCTAAGTCAAAAGTCCAGGTTGCTGAATGTAGGGGCTCCTTACCTAAAAAGATGAAAGCTGTTGATGCCAGCACTGCAAAGATGGTAAAGAGGATGGTCTGGTGAGAACCCAGGAACTTCTGGAGGATACCTGAATCTCCACATTGATCTGTGCATTGGTCAGAACAATAAAAGGTAATAGTTATACTTAAAGCATGCAGGGCAGGTGGCTGTGTTTAAAAACACATGGTCATGGGTATCCAGCAGAAGCTCTCAAAACCCAGCCCTCTGGGAAATTGTTTTGCTTAACAGAGGTGAATTATGTACTTGGTTCCTCCGCCTCTTTTTGGCTTGTTCTGTCTCCCAGGTAATAAACTCCCAAACTTTGAATCTTGTATTTCTTATCAACTTACAAATGGATATGTAAACCACTACTACCTCAAGATGCCTGTTAACCTTTCCTGTGTATTTTAATTCCAAATGACTTGCTTCTCTTCACCAAATTTGTGATTGTGGTGACTGAACTTCCAATTCTAATCCCTCTAACCCGAAATCTTTTTTTGATCACCAACCACTTTTTAAATCCAGGGGTCCCCTTGTCATTCTTTACTTAGGATGTCCTTTCTAGGGAGCATTCAGATTTTTGTGTAACACTGTCCTCAGTAAAACTTAAAACTTGTGTTTTTGAAGCACACGTGACATTTGACTTTGGTTATTTCAAATTCTTCAGTGTCTAGAAATGAACACCTGCCCCAGCAGACTCCCCTGAACTTCCAGGTCTTCCCATATATCTCATATTGTCACCAGGCCCTCCTACCTAGTTCCTATTCTGCATCCCTAGTATAGGCCCTCTAACTTTTGGACTTGTAACTGGTCTTATTTATGGTACTTTGTTTCAGAACTGTTTACAAACTGCTTTGCTCTGAACACTTTTAAGGTTGTTTGAAATAAAGTGCACTAAAAACAAGATTCTCTATACTAATCCTTGATCAGGTCCAACTGTTGAAAGCTTCTGGCTTTCCAATGTTTATACGGTAAGAGTCCAGATAAAATTTATGGGACATGATCAGCCTTTCCAATACCCCTTTGTTCTGGCTACACTGAACTATTTACTAGCTCCTGAATTAGGCCCTGTCTTAAATCTGATTTCTGTACTAGGTACCATCCCTGGCACATACCAGTGGGCACTCAACATGCCTATGTGAATAAGCTAGCTGAAGACTGGGTTGGATCTTTTTGTCTGACCAATCCTACCCACCATGGTTGGACTGTTCCCAATGGCCCCTCTTAGCTCTGAGAAGTGCAGGGGTTCTTAACCATTTATTGTGCCGTGAGCAACTTGAGGCAGTATGGTGAAACCCATGGATCCTATCTCAATGTTTTTAAATGGAAAAAAAATGTGTAGGAATAAAAGCAAACCCAATTATATCAAAGCTAACCATGATGGAAAAAACTTTGTGATATAGCTATGTACATACACTCAGCAAGATGTTAAAAAGGCCTTTTTTGAGTGCTTTAGTAACAAGAAAGATCTAGGCTCAGGTCTGATAACTACTGTAATTTTTCTGTAACTTTGAAGTGAATTTTGAGATCTAATAATTGGAACATCAAAATACCGGAATTCTGTTGGTGACAGAGTCACACATATTGCTATTGCTGTGGTTTCTTGCCTATATTCATAAAATCAGTGGAAATGGAAACTTTATTGAGAGGTTAATTGAAAATAAAGATGCAATTTTTCCCCCTCATTGGAGGTCATGGGCACCTGGAATTCCATCCATGGACTCTTGCAGAAACCCATGAAAACTCTAGATTTAAAAACTCCAACAGAAAGAATACAGATTAGAGTTGAACACTGTTTCTAGTCCTGGGACCTTGAGCATCTCCATTTGTTCAGTTCTTAAAGGGAAAAACTTTAGAGTTACAAGAGAACAAATGCCCATAAAAAGCACTTAGGGTATTGGCCAGTACATATCAGGTGCTTGTAGAAACAGACCTTCCTTCCATTGGAGATGAATGGGGGTTCAGTCCACTTCTAGTTAATTCAAAGAACATCTGGAGGGATGGGCAGGTAGCGGTGGCAGTATGAGGAGGATGATTCTTTGGCTTTCCTAACACTTTTCCATGAATACACACATTCCCATCCCACCCAGACCGGGCATAGTTTCTGAGTAATGGCTAGAATCAGGATTTGTGGAGCAGTCTTAGTTCTAGGACTATCACCATTTGCCCAGTGCCTGATGCAAAAAGATCTGCCAGAGATTTCTGAAGAAAAACATTTATCAAGAAGTTTAAAACAGGAAAATAATACACTTAACAAGGCTGAGAAGTTCTTGTTGATAACTACTCTTAAATGTATAAGTTAAGTAGAATATCTTGATGGTGATAAGAGAGCTCCCTGAAGGTTATGTTATAAGTAGGCTTGGAAAATAAAGATCAATGCCCCAGCTAGTTTGAGTAATCTTGGTCAAGTGGCTGAATGTTTCTCATTAACTAAGCAATACATTCTGCGGTCTTTCCTACTCTAGATTAAAAACAGGAGCCCCAGGGCACCTGGGTGGCTCAGTCAAGCCTCTCCCTTTGGCTCAGGTCATGATCCCAGAGTTGGGGCATCTGGCTCCCTGCTCAGTGGAGAGCCTGCTTCTCCCTCTGCCCCTCACCCAGCTTGCTCTCTCTCCCTCTCTCAAATAAAATCTTCAAAACAAACACACCAGGAGCTCCCAGTGCTCACCTGCACCAGACTTATCCTTCAGAGCTCTCACTAGCACAGCCTCACTTTGACTGGTGAGCTCACAGGAAATATTGATGAAAATGGGTGATGCCATCTGCTGAAGGGAGGTGAAGTTGACTACTCTTATGGGATAGACAGCCAGGCCAGGCGTGAGGGAAGACTGCCTGTGGCCAGAGACCACTAGAACTGGGGAGCTGGGGAAGACCTTGGAGAAAAGATAAAATGGCACTTGTTTGTATCAATATTGCATTCCAATCTTAAACGTACAATAAGATCCCTGTATTTCTAGTTAGCAATCTGAAAAGTCATCTGCTTTTCCACACTCAGATGTGTTGAAGTAGATAAAGGAAGAAAATGATCTGTGAGAGGTGCCTGGGTGGCTCAGTTGGTTAAGCGTCAGCCTTCAGCTCAGGTCATGATCCCAGGCTCCTGGGATTGTGCCCCACATCAGCAGGGAGCCTGCTTCTCCCTCTCCCACTGTCCCTCTCTCCGCTCATGCTCTCTCTCAAATAAATCTTAAAAAAAAAAAAGTTCTAAACTATAAAGATCATTTAGGATGATACTAATGTCTTCCAGACTGACAAAGCTCATGACCTAAATTTTGGACTCTGGGAGTACCCTTGCATTGTGAAGAGAACAGGTTTTCTTCATTCTAAGAGCCCTCCCCCCTTGTGAATTTTATCAAAGTCATTCCAGAACTGTTCCTTTGCCCTTGGACTAGGAATGAAGACTCCTTTTTTCAAAACCCTGATCTCAGTTATGTTTTGGTTCAGTGCTTCACATACCTCTAGCTTCTCAAGAACTCTGTCCACCCCCAGCACTCTTATCTCCCCGATGTCTTGTCTGTGGCTAAGAATCAATTCTGACTGGTTGATGTAAAAGGCTGGGATGAAAGGAATGAGGATTCTTTGCATTCCATTCTTGCTCCGTTCACTGACCAGTGTGGCCCACCCATAGACTGAGGTGTCAGCCATGCTGAGGGCCTGGAGCAGCTCTTCTGACTGGGGTCGAACCTTGATTAGGCAGACATAAACCCCTGAAGAAAAGATGAAAAACTGAGCGGGGAAGGTTCAGAGGCTCTATTGAGCCAACTGGCTTAAAATAGGAAGGAAAAATGGAAGCAAGTTCAGAAGAAAATGTGAACTCAACTTTGAGTGTTCACTATTAGCAGACTGTTGGCCATTGTGGGGGAAGGATACCGAAGAAAAACAGTCCCAGGCAACCCACAGTTGAACCTGTTGCTTAAATCAACATGTCAGGTAGTAGTAAATAACACAGTACAAACAAATTAAAGGGATATAGAATGAAGTAACCAGGAGT